GAGCTAGACTGTTCTCAGTGGTGGCAGATGACAGAACAAGGAGTAATGGTCTCATGTTGTAGCAAGAGAAGTTTAGGTGAGGTATTAGGAAGAATTTTCTCACTAGGAGGGTAGTAAAACACTAGAACAGGTTACCCAAACAAAGCTTTGGCTGGGATGATCTAGTTGCCATTCACTTTGCACTCATGTTATCGGTCTGATAAGATAAAATATGGCTTGAATTGCTCAGAGATGACGTCAGCAGCTGCCCATAGGTGATGAGTCCGTGCAGGAGGGCTGGAAGAAACGAGCCTCAAGGCAGTAGGGAGAGGAAGGCTGTTGCCCCAATTCCTTATGCAGTATTGCTCTGATAAATCTAGTTCCCCAGTGAATGTTTCCACTATGATGTTTTTCCAGGTTTTTTCCTGTCAAATGACCTGGCAGTTGTTTGTCTTCTGTGTGGTTGTATTCAGGCAGCATTCATTTCATTATTAGAAAGAAGGTTAGACATTGTATAAAAACACTCTCTCCCTTCCAGAGTCTCTAATGCTTTTCTCTTTCTTCAGCTTGTCCAGAGGATACAAAAGCTCTTACAGTTGCTCCTCAGCCTTCAGGTAAAATTTGCATATTCAGTCCAATAGATGTGTTGTGTTGAGCTGTTAAGTTTGCTGCAATGTAGGTAATGGAGTTTGCTTGTAGCAGCACTAAAAAGTCAAATTTTCTGGGTGTGCTGAAGGTAGCTGAGAAATTTATCTGAGACTTGAGTTCTAGTGCAACCAGCGTGATTCCTGGCCTTTTGGAGGAAGCCGAGCTCTGCTGCTTCGTGAAAGAGAAACTTCGTTCCTTTTAATTTATGTCCAATCCGCCCCATTTACCTCTTAGGCTTCCACTTGCTTTTCTTGCAGTGAAGCGTGCTGTGCTCCCCGCAGGTATTTCTGTTGAATAGAAACACATGCATGTGGCAGTGATTCTCAGCTGCGGGGGCTGTGGAATATTATCATCTGATAACAGTGTTATAATATAACAGTAGTAGCACTGTTAGGGGTACAGACATGATTCACAAGACAACCCAGAATTTACCAACAGGAATCGAAAGCATTCTGGCCTGTTGTGGTCTTTCTGAGTTCTTTGCAACAAAAGTATTGCTCTAGCATTTCTCTGTATTCAGAAAAAGAGTGTAAACTAAAAGCTGGCATTTTCCAGGGGTGCCTTGAATTTGTTGAGGGGTGCCTCAAGTCTAAAAATGCTGAGAATCGCTGGTACATAAGGTGACGTACGTACTATAATTTGATACAATATTTCATAACATTCTAGGTGATCTCTAGGGTCAAAAGATGCTTCATTTTGAATGGTCCAGGCTTAATATTTTGTCTTGAGATTATCTGTAATATTGAGGCGATTGCTGCAATGCATTCTGACTGGGAGCTCAGTCCAGCTCTAGAGACAGATGTGTGTATCTCCTGAGATACGGCAATCTCCCCTCACCGCAGCTGTATCTTTCAAGCCCACGCGCCTAATGATTCTGTTGGGGTGTTTCTTCCAGGCAGTGATATCCCAGCAGGACAGCTGCATTGAAATGCAGCGTGCCACCCTCCTGGATCGGGAGAAGCAGTACCGGCTGCAGTCGACACGTGGAAACCTGCTTCTAGAGCAAGAAAAGCAGCGCAACTTTGAGAAACAGAAGGAAGAAATGGCAAATGTGCAGAAGCTGCAGAACCAGCTGAAGCAGGAGCAGCAGCGCTGGGAACGGGAGAGGGACTGGCAGCAGAAGGAATTTGAGAAGACAGAGGCACAGCTGCAGGAGCGTGAGGAGGAAACCCGGCAGCTGAAGGATCGCTTGAGCCAGGATCGGGAGGAGCTGGAGAGACAACGGGAGGCCTATCAGCATGACCTGGAGAGGCTGCGGGAAGCACAGAGAGCAGTTGAGAGAGAGCGAGAACGTCTAGAGCAGCAAAAGAAGCTGAAAAAGCAGAATACGGTGTCAGGCACATTCTCCCCAGACCTGGGACAGGTAAGGAGCTTGTGCCCGGGGAGGACAGAGGCTCTTTTTGCTTCCCGCCCCCTTCTCATTCTGCTGCTGCTGCTCACTGTGGCCCTTTTTGGAGGTCCTCTCCCAGAGGTAATGATAAATAAGATCTGTGTGGCTAAGCTGCTTGGTTCGTGTAGCAGGACTTCTTTAGACTGTATTTCAGTATAGCACGTTGCAGGGGCAAGGACGGGGCAGCCACTTGTTTTGGTCACAAGGAGTTTCTCTCTTGGGGAATAATGGTTTTATGCTTCTTACTTCTTGGAGAAGTGCAGACCATCCATTTTATATAGACCAACTTCTTTCTCATGTAGGGCCAAATGCTGAGCCATTCCGCCAGCTTCAATGGAGAAGGGATAGAAGTTTCTGTGCCGCACCTGAAAACCTCTGGGAGGGCCAGCGTCTCGGGAATGGATTATCTGGAGCGGCCAGAGCTGGTTCGCAGGGACAGCACCACCCTGGAGAATCGCCTGGTTCTTGCAATGAAAAACGAAGTGCCAATACACCTCCTGAGCACAACCAATCAGATACAGAAGCAGGCTGCAGTTCAGCAACAAATCCCCACCAAGCTTGCCGCTTTCTCAAAAGGAAGCAAAGAAAAGGGTGGGAAAAGCAAAGCATCTCACAGGATGGACAGCTCAGGTGAGGGTAATAAAGTACATCCTGCAGTTCTGCCAAAATCAGACTCGCGGGACAGCGCTCAGGGTAAATTGCAGACCACCTCTGGCCAGCCCAGAACGGCCTGCCCATGTGCATTGCAGAGCCACCAGTCGCAGGCGGGCTTGTGCAAGCCAGGGGCTAAAAGCTGGTGAAAGGCCAGGTTACAAGTGACTACAGTCCTTGGAATGGGGAGGTGGCCTGCCTGGGCCGTATGTCTTAATTACTCCTGCCTGGTGCAGTCACTTGCTAACCCACCAGCCATATAAAAATCTGCTTAGCGCTTGGCCGCCAGAGTGACAGTAACGGACAGACTAGCAGCATCGTACGTGCACCGAGGGAGTAGAACTTGTCCAGACTGATTTGCTCCCATGTCTCTCCATCCTGTCCTCTGCTGCGGCACCTTTGAGTGTGGGCAGGGGAGAAATAGGTTCCTGTTTCCAGAGAGCTGATGAGAAGCAAAGCATCCAGCTTAGATCTGGGCATGAGTATTTCGAGCAGGTAGGAAGGAATGAACGATGATTGTTCCTGAGGTCTAGCTTACATGTGAATGCTGAGCATCACACATTATCACCGTGGCTAAGCATGATAATAGTACCCGAAGCTGCGCCAGCTTGCAGCGGTTGGTTTATCCCAACCAGCCTTTCTCTGCCTCTTTGTGGGTAGTGGTGGGTTCAGGAACACTTCTCTGAGGCAGTGATGTACACGTCCCAGTACAAACCAAACAGTTCCAGCAACTAGCCAAGCCCAGCCCCTCCCTTGGCACTTGGAAGTTGGTACCTTGCCAACATTCCTCACACCGTGAATGTGACTTTCCAGGCCAGAAGGGGCCCACAGACGTTACAGTAAAATCCAAAAGGGGCTAATTTTGTTAGAAATAGAAGGGAGTACAAATGTGGTTACGATGCCATGATGTAATTTGTTGCTAACAGTTGAGTGGCCTTTGCCAATGACAGACGATGCAAAAACCACAGTTTTCCAGCCGCTTAAAAGGATCTTATTTTCAGCTGAGGAGAGCAGCCTGTAGTTCTGCCTTACACAATTATCTAATCTGTGCGCCAGGTTCAGGCTGGCAAGGGTACAAGCCAACACGCCTGCATTTGTGTACTGTAGAGACAGATGTTGGTCACTGGTCAGTGTTGCTGTGCATTGTGGAGGGCAGCAAAAAGGGTTGGGGGTTGGGGCACATGACTTGTGAGGAGAGGCTGA